TGAACATTTTGAACAGGGCTGCCCAACTATTACCCTAAAAGGTGAACACCCTGCAAGATTTATATGTGTTCCTGCTCCATCAAAGGTGATTCAAACTTGTGAATTACCTCCTCAGCATGCCTTCAAGTTATGCAGAGGTCTAGCAATTTCACTCAGGTGTGTTGATGAGATACTACAAATAAAGCATGTCCTTATTTTGACTGCCCTTGTAACCCAGTAAATTTTGACCAGGTACCCTACCGCTGAATATTCACACAGTATGATGTCACCAAAGCGATGACAAAGGAAATTTCACTAAAAGATAACAATTACTTTATTCCCATTTTATGTACTAAAGGGTGAGCTGGTTTGAAATAAGCTTTTTAAATCTAACAATGTAGATGCTTTCAATTATTTTTTTCATTTTTAAAATACATTTTGTAGACAATGTTTCACTTTCTCTCTGCTTCAACTGTGTTTCTTTGATCTTTGATATTTAATTTGCTAAAATAGATAGAGATTTCTAATTCCCAACTTTTTATATTAAAACTATTTATTTATTTTAAAAGGACACAATTCTGTAAATACATGACAAACTTGGAGACTAAAGTAAATGTAATTGTTATTGGATTCATACAATATTATGTCACTCTCAAGCTTTTCTAGCACATGTTAAAACATTGGTTAAAGGAAAAAAAAGACCATAGTTTTAAAGGATTTCCAAGAATTTCAATGTAAAAGGATTATCAGACAAGAACAGCCTGTACTTTTGAGTACATTTTTCTCTTAGGACCTAAAATAGAGCAACAAATTATTAGGGGTTCACTTTGTCCATCGTTTGATTTGAATAAGGTAGATGAGTTCTAAAGTAAAGGTGCAGCTGAAATTGAACCTCACAAACTACTAAAACATCTCTGCTTCGGTGGGTTTAAATCCACCATTAAATTTGACCAGAAAGTCATAAAATTGGTCTTATATAGTAAGGTCATTTTTGTCTGGGTCAAATCATGTCTAACTTCTCTATTTCCGGATAGAATTATACAACAGAGTAACTGATAATATGGTCATTTTACAACCTTTAGTCTATTGAATGTAACTAAAATGACAAATTCACACTGAAATAAGTTTTCTCTTTAAGCTTCACTTGGCTTGACCTGCCTCCCTTATACCGCTACTTGTTTTACCACACCGGATTTATTCTACTTTTTTATTTTTTTTATTTCATAATAAGTGTAACAAATATCTTTTCAGTGTATCTTTCTCTCTGCATAAGCATTCGATTTGATACATAACCTTACCTGTATGTAGGGCTGGTGGAGGTTATTTTGAACAGGGGGTGCTGTGAAAATTGTTGTTGTTTTTTTTGGACAAAAGACCTATGAGCCTATTTAAAATACGATAAAAATAAATAAGTAAATATGAGATTCACTAGTTTATTTTCATATACACTTCAATGCATGCAACTAGAGTCTGTAACAGCAGACATCGTCAGTTCAGAGGTGAATATATACGCTATTATTTAAACTTCACAATAACACAATAACAACGTAGATTTGGTCAGCTGGCAGTACCCTTTCTCTTTGTGTACAGTGTATGTCACACCTGACTCTGTTAGCTTTAAAATCCTTTTGCACAAACCACAAGGAAATATTATACTATTTAAACATTATTGAACAGTTCTCCACATCCATTACACACACAACACAGGATCAAAATAAAATACTATGGTTACATTAAACTGCATGAATAGCTGCACCAGGCTTTTACTTTGAGCTACAGACAGGGTGCCCTGTCTGGCAACAGGTGCACTCTGTGGTCGTGGAGATAAAGTCTCCCATGAGCAGAAAATCCGAGAACCATATTTGTGCCATATTTCCTCCTTGCTCCTGTCATTGAACAATGTACATTTACTAGTCTGATGCCGAAAGAGGGATACCTCTTTACCCGGACCGCTAGCTTGCTCGATGTTGCCATGACAATGTAACTTGCATGAACTTGTGTTGATTAGGCCTCAAAATAGTTAAATCAAAATAAAAATGCACTTAATAGAAATTTATAAATTATACAAAGTATTTTTAATACATTTAAAAAAAAATCTCACTCTTACCACTTGGGGGTGCTGCATCACCCACACCGCCAATTCCTGTGGCGATCCCTGTATCTGTTTAAATACTAATATTATTTTATCGTTGTAAAACCTCGAAAGATCTGCCTGGTCCTCCATGACAAATGCGATTTCTTAATCGTGTATTTTGCACTAATGAATGGTGAAATAATGACTCTTGGGGCCTCTTGGGACCATGTTTACATTTTATCACTGCTGCCCTTTCAAAATGGAAATGTCTTGAGAGCTGTACTGAACGAAATTTTGTTTCGTATTCACCCTGTGTGTACAAAGTGATAATAAAATTTGTCTAAGTCTAAGTCTGTAGGGGAAAATGTCTGACAGGTGATTTCGAGGGGTTAGGTGCATAAAGCACTGAAAACTGAGTTTTTTTGCATTTATTTTGCATGCAAAACATGTTTTACAAAACAATATGAATAGACAGCATAGGCTGGATTTAGATCAATCAGTGTTGAATTCAAGTTCAGTCCCAGTAAGATGGAGAGCATATAACCATACATTTTTAAGTGTTGCCACAAATTCTTAGTCGGACTGACAAAAACATTTTTAAATATCTTAAATTGGTCTACACCAAGTCCTAGTGGAGGACTTTGACACATATTTGAGAATACCCTTCCTCTCCACTTAAAAAGACAATGCACATGCACAACCCTGTACCCGCCCATTTAACGCATACGAGAACGTGCATGAGCCCATTTCTCCTCGTGCACGCTCTTTTTAAAAGTTGCTGTTTGCATCGCTCATTCAAGCTTACTTTCCAAAACAATTGCAAATGGGGACCAGCTGAATGTAAACATATCACCACAATGATTGACAATTAGATTTTTATGATCCACCCTGAAAAAGAACATCCTCCAATATACCTTTAAGTTGGGCTTTTAACATTTTCTGCTATTTTTAGTTTCTGTAGAATGACGTTTTCTTTAATACTATTATGTAATTCTAGTCACCTTCCATTCCACTCGTCCACGCTTCCACGCTGGCTGATGTCTGTTTCACTATGTTGCTGAAAGGACAGCTTGTATGTTTCTTTCAACAATGGATTGATCATAGACAGATTTGTATAATAGATAGGCTGTAAACACCTGGGCTCTGAGTTTCCCAAATTCCTTCTGAGCTGCCATTGACCTTTTCAGTGATTCCCTTTGGTAATGCTGTTCCAACACAGCTTGTCATGTTAGATAGATAGGTTACCCATTTTCAGAAAGATTTGGATACAAGCGGTACACTTTTGGGATTTTTATTTGAGAAAAATGTTTTTCAGGATCAACATTTTGAACAACATTTTGTGTTGCTCTGTAACATTGAATACCAATACAGTAGAGAAAAAAAAATGAAGAAATCTGCTTAGAGGTTATAAATGCTGTAGGAAAGAACAGACATGCTCTCTGTATAAAACAGAGAACACGTTTGTGCCTTGTATGTAGATAAGTGACAGTAATGTCAGGTTTGAAAAGACAACACTAGAGAGGAAAAAAAGAGAAAAGATTCAGCACTGAATTCGGAACAATAAAATGAAAATCTGCTTTTACAGGATTCAAATGTTAGCTCTACAAAGAGATAATAGAAGGCTTAAATTGACAGACAGCTCTGAGCAGAATAATCGATCTGTGTTGTTTTGTACTTATTAAAGGCTGGGAAACAGAAAGTGTGCTGACAGCAAATTGTACAGTTAGCCTAGAAACAATTGAATCCCCCCTTCCACACTTTGAACACCCCAAAACCTTCTATTTCCACTCAATATGTTCCTTTTCCTCAGGAACTTTTTGTGGTTCTGGATCAGTGAACTGGCCTCCAGGTGTATCCTGCTGTTCTTTACTGCCTAATTTGAGAGGCAGAACACAGTTTCACAGGTGGTTCACATTGTGTAGTAATCACTGAGCAGATACCTCTGCTCCTGTCTTCGCTGTCTGGATGTGGGTAACCCAGACAACCTGACAATGTACACAAATTAGAGGCAGGGAGGAGGAGAGTATGATTAATGATTTACATAGAGGACAGGGCACAGGAGGAAGGAGAATGGAGCAGAAGTGCTTAAAAATCCCAGGGCTCATCTGAGACAAGGGTGAGGAGAAGAGAAATTCAGCTGATGAAGCCAGGCGAACTGATAGAGAAATGCAGAATGAGAACATGCAAAAGCAAATACATATACATATACATATAGAATCTTAAATAAGCCGTGATTTAATCTGTTATCTAAAAGCTCAGATTGTATTTATTTATTTATTTTTTTAATGAGAGGAAAGAGCATACACACCGGAAAAAAAATCAAAATATACATAAGTTGATTTTTTCTTAAAATAAGTGCATTTCTTCTTGGATTGAGGAGGTAAAAGAAACATTTTGCCAATGGAACAAGACAATTTACACTTAAAATAAGAAAACACACTTGCATTTTCTTATTTCAAGTGCATATTATCTAATTATCTTATTTTAAGAGTAAAAATACTCATTCTATTGGCAAACTATCTCATATCAAATTAAGAGTATATACACTAAATTTAATTAATTAATTAATTTATTTATTTATTTTACTTATTTCTACATCATTTTTCCAGTGCATATCAGTAACAGAGAATTCCCACACTCTCCACTTACCGGGTGTCAAACCCCCTCTCTCACCTTCAAAACTGGAACTTTCTGCTGTTTAAACATGGGGGACAACACTGGTTGATAGTAGCAATTACAGTCATGATCTCTGTCCGTCGGCTGGTTGTTTTCTATACAGAGGAAAAATGGAGATGTTCGCCTCTTAATGCCATGCAGGGATTGGTTCGATGTGTTTTAACATTAAAGCCTGATATGCTTTTATCAGGAGGGAACCCCCCCAAACGTATGATGGACCATTCCTCCGTTCATCTACATCCAGACGAGGTGTGAGCGGCGCAGAGAGCCAGACAGAGCAGAGCTGTTGGCTGGCTTGGTGGACACACAGCGGAGCGCACAACTCCCGGAATCTCTACAACGCATCTCCCGCACAGATGGATATTTACGCAGCACTGTTGTTATTTTTTCTTTTCACCAAACCAGGTGAGAACATGTACATTTTTGACATCAGAAGGAGGATTTCGTTTGCATTTGAGCTTCTTTACATTTTGCTGTCTTTATCAACTGTGCAAGTTGAGATTTCTATTGGTGCCTTTGTATGCAGTATTTTTTTTTCTTTTTTAAGCATATACTAACTGCAGAAACTAACAACAAATCTGAAAGAAAAAAAAAAGAAATACCTTCCACCTGCACCTTTAAAGTCTAGTCCACCTAAAGCCCCAGGAGAGCACAGGTGATGGCTGCAGGCAGTAGATGCGGCTTTGTTTTGAGGCAGCAAATATTACAATAATGTAGAACCACTGCACACCTTGTCACATAAAATACTCTTACAATGACAAAACAATAAATTTGTATTATTATTATTATTATTGTGATTTATTTAATTTTGCTATTAATGATAAAAATGTCTGCTATCCTTCAGCATTAGATGAGTTTCCTGTCTCTTAATAATTGTCTCTTTCTGTTCAGCTTTTGGTTTCGGATCAGATCAAGATTACCAGATTGATATAATCAGCGAACTTGACCTGGCCAATGCCACTTATGGAATTACCCAAGTGGCAGGACTTCACAACGGCAGTAAAGCCTTCCTTTTTCGAGGTAATGATGAACATTTCTCTATACATGCTTAAGTTCAAAAATCTTCTTTACCGGCTGTCTATGCACTCTTGCCCTTAGTTTCTTTATAGTGTGAGCAAACCCATGCAGTGCCACACCTTGTGGTATATACATGCTGAAGAGGACAACTCCTGGGAGCATCCACTCATTATTACTCCACATTTAATTTGTCCGACTCGGCAGAGGCTCAGAGTCATTGTTGAGCGCGCTGTCTGCGTTGGATTTCACTCACAGTGTGATGTTTCTAATGCTATCTGCTGTGTTATCCCTGCAACTGACTTCATGTAGCTGCTATCAGCTGGGTTATTGTGAGCGTAATGAAGGGTGCACAGCGTGCAGCCAGACTGTTTAAAGCCCTGGGAAAGAAGAAACAGCACAGATGAAACTACATATTCTTCTGTTTTTTTGCATTTTAGATGGTTTCTTTGTGGTTGTTTTTCTGCACCTTGAAAGAGGTGCAGGTTTGAAAGGATGTAGAGAGTTGACGGGGAGCAAAACACTGAGACTATTTGGCAGAAAGAGAAGACAGAGCGCGCACACACACACACACACCTATCTATCTATCTATCTATCTATCTATCTATCTATCTATCTATCTATCTATCTATCTATCTATCTATCTATCTATCTATCTGGTTAATGACCAATTTTAAAGGAAAGTGTAAACAATTTGAAATGACCTTCTGTGGGATATTTATTGGTTAAATTATCCTTTAATTCTTAACCATATCAACCATATCAAGTAATCATATCAGCCCCCTTTCCCAGGTTTTGGCTGTTTAAAACATATGAGGGAACAGAGACTACATCATCACTTTCTTAGTAAATAATTTTTGTTTAAAGTGCTTTTTTGATCAAATGGACACTGTTTTGTGAGAAAACAGTGACAGAACATATAGAAATTGATACATATTACAATAAAAGATACTAAGGATCCCTTGTAATTAGCACTGGCTAATTTAAATTGCATTTTATTTACACCATCAGTTTAGTTCCTTTAAAGTGGCAACGTCTGCCAAAAGTAGGTGGTCAGCTTTTTTTTAAGCCTTTGCTCCCTTGTCTCCAAACCTACTGTGATATGAAATCTGCCAACTGTAGGTGTGGACAGTATTAACAAGGATAACTTCACAGAGTTACACTTCAGAGGCTTTGTGTGTATGTGTTTGTGAGCACTGGTTTTATTTACTTGAGTGCTTGGCTCAAAACGCTACTGGCTCTACATGAATGAAGACTGGGCTGCTTGGCCAGCTTTGCTGATGTAAAACTGTCCAAGATTCAGGACTCAAGGCCATAAGGGAAACACCGCTGCCCTCACTTAGCTGACACACAAAGATCCCCCCCTCCCATTTACAGCCACATTCAGACTCCTCTAATATTTTTTTTCCTGACAGTTTCTAGACCAAGACTTGTGCAGCAGCTATATAGCAAGGGAAATAGCAGGCTAGTCCAATTGGGAATACTGGACTTTCTTCTGTTGTGACCTACTTAATACATCAGTTTTAGTACATCATCTGCTTCTGTTTTGGCTGAGAACTCTGTTACGCTACACAAGCAAATGTTCCCCAAACTTTTGATTATATCAAGCCAGTGACAGTTTGATTCTTTTTTTTTTATATCAGAAAGATTAAGAATGACATAAAACTATTTTTAAATCTTAGCATCTTCCTCATTAAAACTGTAATACTTGTATTTCATGTAAAGGATGAAAATATTTTTAATTATACAAATCTGAATAGTTTTTAGAAACTTTTTCACAGCAATTAGTGCTTCTGTTCATTTAGGATGAACACTTTCATTTAGTTTGAACTTTGAAATTTTGGACCATTCATTACCCAGAAATCTGACTTTTATATGTCAAAATGTTCGTGCTGGTCTTGGGCCTTAGTTAAAACTTGTAAAAATGGTTTGGTTTTGTCATTTGGGCTCTTTGTTCAAACCAAAAAAGCCCACAAGGGTGCTTAGAAGGGTGCTAACATTAGCCTGACTTGCTTTCATCACGATTCCAACAATCATGGAGTCATTTGCAGATCTACAATATTGTCTAAGAGACTGGGACGTAATGGTACATGAAACTGCTCATGTTAATGATGCTACCTTGCAATGCAGAGCACCGAGGGTGCATACACACAAGTCTAATTGTCATTATATTCTTGTGTATCTTGGCTAGCCAGAATAATCTATGTCATGCATACATCCTATTAGCCTGCAAAGAAGTGGGTAGAATCCAAGCGAGACTAACAGTCAATGGAAACAGTGTAAAACAGATAACTATGGAAGTGAAACAAAAACATCATTTTATTTAAAAAGAAAAACTATTAAAGCAGCCAGTTGTTGGCATTTCAACTATATAAACAGCTCTTTTGAGACATTATAAAAGCCATCATTAAAGCATTGCTCTGTTGCAGCTGCCAGTATCCTTTAGATTTTCAGATGTGCACAAGGTATCTAAAATAAACACTTGTCAACGAGTTGCAAACTCGATCAAGATGATCAAATTTTGATTTGTGATGCTAGCGACAGTTCCTTTTGGAGAGGCAGGTCATGTTTTCTTTATATATTTTTATAATAAAATAATTTGGGGAAATTATTGGAAACTGGTAAGGGCAGCATGAAAGAGGGGTAAATATTGTGAAAAGAGGGGTAAAATATTGTAGAAAGACGTGTAAACTATTGCACAGTAGCTTTCTTGAACAAAATGGGAGAAAACAGCTAATACCTTATGTGCCCAACTCCCACATTGTGATGGGTGCGGTCTAATTGGGACTGGAGAGTATCGAGCCTGACTGATTTACGCCCCATGTAGCCCTTCTGAGAAAAAACAAACAAACAACCAATTACATTACATGATTTTCACCTAAAAATGATAATGACAATTTTGAAGGACTATATAAAATACCAGGTTATCACAACTTTAAGTAACTCAATCTCAGTCATGCTATTAGATTGCATCTGGCACCAACAATTTAAAACCTCTCATATGGAATCCTTAGATTCCATCTTAAATCTGTATTTTCCCTCTGGGATTATTAAATTATGTCTGATTCTGATTCTGAAAGGTTAAGCTCCACCCCAGTCTTGTGTTTTCTGCAGTCTGAAAGGTTTTCCTGCAGGAAACTCCATCTCTTAACCAATTAACAATGACCTACATACACATATCTGCTGAAAAAATGCATCCTCACAACATGAGGCTGTGACTATGTTCTAATGTGGAGATGATGTGTTTTCTGGTGTGTAGTGTCAGGCTTTACCATGCAAAGCATTCTGCGTATAGAATATTTAGTATAAAACTTTAATAAATGTTTTTTTTTTTTACATTTTGTGAAAACATCTTGGTTACCTTATTCTTAAGTTGTGCTGTTTTGTCCTTTTGTTTGTGTAAAGCTAGAGATTACTTTGAATTGCAGGACTGATGCCTGTTGTGTCAACAAATTCTTCTACTAAACGTGGGGTCTCTGTACATTCTTTAGAATTACTACAGACAGTCTCTGCTGTCTGGCTTGTCATTTACCCTAGATGGTGCACTGGTCTTCATCATTTGATTTATTCTCTAATGTATTTCTAATACTGTAAGACAAAGGCATTCACAGAATAATTTCTATGATCTTGATATTTTAAACAGCCCTGTTAAAGAGTATAAACTTGTTTTTCAGTCTGAAAGCAAATCAAATTCTTAAAAAAAGTGTAGAAAAAAAGCCCAACTAATTTATAACATGTCTGCATATTTGTTCTTATCTTATGTTTTTGGTCAAGAGCGCTTCATACAATGCTGTAACCCTATACATAGTGTACAAAATTAGTATACTTAAATAGACTGTCCTATTTCCATATTGTACTTTGCAGCCCAAAGTGTCAGCCTCATTACTCAGGCTAGCCTTGGCCCAAATGTTTCTTTATATCTAAAGTAGTGGTAATCATAGATTTTCTGCTTCTTATATTCCTCCAGGGCCCATTTTAGGCAGCTGGTTTTATTTTAGCCAAGAGCATGTAACTTGGCTTCAAACAGGTTTTTATGTATTATGTATTATTTTTTGTAAATTTTTCTAACAGACCTCTCATTTTTTAGAGAAAAAAGAGCAGAAAATTAAATACTATGGGTTTTATATCGCAATAAAATACTTAATCTAAAACATTTTCTAATCAGATACATTTAGAGTACATTTGCACAGTATGCCATATTTTTTCTGCCATGGACCTGAATGCTCGGTTATGACTCTGCTGCGTAGCATATAAAATCTCACATCTGCTCGTGCTATACATGTCTGGCACATGCTCAACGTTGACAACCTCTGCACTACCAGCTCCAATTCTTTTCTGTATGTGCTCAGCTTTGGGAAATAATGTGTTTGCCTTCTCATGTGTGTCTAAATAAAAACATCTAATATAAAATGACATATATTTTTTCTGGATTCAACATACAGATTTTGTTTGGTAGAAACCAATACTAATATTTAGGTTTTTAATCTCTGCCACTGTAGGTCTAGTAATTTGATTACTGTGATTTTCTGTTTTTAGTTGTTTTTATCCATCCCAATGTGTATTTAAAAAGGAGACTTTTATTGGATGGTGGTGTGTTTCATTTAGATACAGTTAAGTCATCAGCCTAGTGAGCCCAGAGTAAGCTAAGCGCACATCTGATGTTAAGCGAGCAGGTAGCAGGCAAAGCACACAACTGGGACTGAGCATGTACAGAGATGAATATGAATGCACACAGAAATAATTAGTAGTGGTTGAGTGCCAAAGCAGAGTAGAGTTTTTGAGAGTTGATGCCTATTGAGCGAGTATGTGGGAGATTGAAATGCTAGATGCTGGTCTCACAGCACACTTGTAACTGCGCACTCAGGTTGATGGCACAAAACATATATCATAAAGCTTAACTGAAAGAAAAAAAAAAACCTACGTAAATATGGATGCTGGTGTCTCTGTGTATTAAAACTCTTGAGCAATGGGAGCTGACAGTATCATGAGCCCATTGTAAAAAGACA